GGGTTTCATAACCAAACCCATCACTTTGTCTCCTAATAGCATTCGACATCAGTACAGCCTCATCAGATAACTCACCAGCACAAACCCTTCGCGACGAATACCCGCATTCGGCACTCGAATCCAACAACCCATTGCGCAAAAAAGAGTATTCCTCGGCTAAATCGGTCCGAGGCCGAGAACTATCCTTTAAAAAATTGTCATCAGGATGAACCAACCCTTCAAGATTGTCCTCCGAAGAAGTGGCAATGGATCGAGCAATAGTAAATGGAAATTTGAAGAAGTATGATGAAAGGGAGTAGTTAGCAGAGGATTTCAGAGAACGTAAAGATTGAGAGAGTAAAATCTTCAACTCTGTTTTGCTCATAATAATGTAACAAAATTTAAAAAAAAAAAATGTATTCGTTGGAATTAGGTTTAGGAGAGGGGTTCCGTCCCCGCGAAAGAATCAAACTTGAGTTCCAGGCTGGGTGACGGACATAGGAGACAGAACAAAGCAAGCTCTAGGTGAAAAGGCAGGGAAGGATGGGCAGGGCCATCGCTCGCTGACATGTTGTCATACGAGCCTTTTTAAGCCGATACATGGGGTTGATTTAAGTTTCAATTCATCTCATAAGTTTAGTTTGATATTCGATGGCAAAAAAAAATTGATATTATTCTTTTTGGCCAAAAAATTTTGATATTAATTCTTTCTTGGCCAAAAAATTTGATGCCATTCCTTTCGGCCAAGAAAACTCGTAATTATTCTTATTGTTTGACAAAATTAATATTATTTTTCTAACTATTAAATTTAACAAAAAATTTTGCCTCTTTTTTTTTTTTTTTTGCAAACCAATGTCTTTTTTACTACTTCCTTCAGTGTTTTTTTATGAGTGTTTTACTCAACTATTTTATGTAAACGTAAAAAATTAGTTAAAATTATTTTTAATCTTTAAATTATTCTTAATAAAATTTGGTTAATTAATTTGAAAATTTTATAATCAACTAGAAATATCAGATAAAAACTAATATTTTAAACAAAAAAAATTATATTATTAAACATGTGCGAGATTCTTCTAATAAAAACCGAAAGTTGTAACATGTATTTTTTATTCGGATGAAGGGTTTAGAGTGGATGAGGAGATATTTGGAGTTTTGGACCATAAAATTAGAATTTGGAGGGGAGGTAAAATAATTCCCCTATTGTGAAGTCTTTACCAATGATAAATGATCTCTCAATGGGTCCACTATGATGACTATACTATATAACTCCTACAAAGTCATTAAAAAAAATGGTTAAATCATACAAAACTTTAAATCTTGGGTTATTTGCACATAATATCCATAACATTTTAAAATTTGAATTTAACCCTAACATTTTTTATTATTATTATGGATCCCTTGGTGTTAAGTGATTGTTATCTTTTTTGACAAAATTGTCACATCTTATCAAAAGAAGACATGTGACATTATTCATGGCATTTCATATAAGTTTATAATTTTCTAAAATTCCCTTAAACTTTTAGGTTAGTTACATAAAATCCCCTAAATGTTATAATATTAAATTTAAATTTTGAAATGTCAAGGAAGGAGTCATATATGACCAACCTAAAGGTTATGGAATTTTTATAAAATGAATAACTTACATAAGATGTCATGAAAGATGTCATGTGTTTTTTATTGATATCATATGATAATTTTTGTCAAAAAGATAATGGTAACATAATCAAGAGAAGATTTGCTTTGCAAGCTAAGTGACTTAATTCTGATTAATAAGCAATGACATAATGAATTTGAATTAAGTTATAGTAAGGAATTCAAGTTAGAAATCCGAGTCATAAAGTTGTCTGTGATACAACTTACATAAACCAGAAGTTGATAACCTTTCGTATGTTGAGATCACATCAAATAATTGAGTTATATTTTATATGAGTCTACTCTGAAACGTAACTTGCAATAACTTCCGTGTGTATATCGAATTACACTATCGTGGCTAACACAATTCCTTCTGACCTCAAGTCAAACTTTACTGGAACATCAGGTTTTATGTTTCCAAATACTGATAACTTCCAACAATTGGAAGTTGCTGAGGTCCTATTTGCTAAAAATTTATCATGACTTTGAGAGAGAAGTTACTTCATCAACAAGAGAGGGAGTTACTCAAGATAGTATAAGATCATGAGGGGATTGGTTGTTACCTTATAGGTTATAAGGAGAAGTGTTGACAAACGCAGTCTATAGATTGATGTACTAAGGCTTACAAGTGCCTAGTTTAAACTTTGGATTGGTGATTAAAAATCTCCACAGCTTTCTGGGACTGGACGTAAGTCAATGAAGAAGCTGAAAAAGATCACTTAAGCATTTTCTCTTATCTCTCTTGGCTTATTATTACAGGGTTTAAGTTTCAAGTTGTTTTTAAAAACATTTTTTTGCATCGCCCAATTTACTTCTATTTGGGTGAAATGTGCCACTAACAAAGCAAATGAAGACACTTAATTGCAGGGTTAGGCATCCCAAAGGATACTAAAGGAAGCATTGGCCTTATACCAAGTGAAAACTGTAGGGATTAAAATTTTAAATGGTTAAAATCATAGGGATAATAAGTCAAAGTGTAAGGAGTTTCACCTGATTTAAAATATATAATTGAGTTGCACCAAATTAAAGTTTAGTATTTCAGTTATAACAAAGTCAGAACTTGAGAAATCAAAGATTAACTTTTCCTCTGTGTGTATCTATATATATATATAAGGTACATACTACAGCTTGAAATATTTCTTATTAAAAAGTGTTTAGATGGAAATTAAACTATGGTTTTAAAAATAATTTTACGGTATATGAAATAAATATAAGGATGAGTTTGCCTAGATTTGTAAGAAAATATTTTTTGAAAGCACTTTTGTCTAATGCCAAATACCCCTTAAATTTGAAGAGTCGTTGAATATCTATAAATCTAGAGACCATCTTATAGCAAAGGACCTCCATGAGCACGCTATGCATGCAAAAACAAGAAGCATCTGACGTGAATGGGCATGAATGGTGCAGTAGAGAATATAAAAGAAGCATCTGACGCGCATGGGCATGAATGGTGCAGTGTGCTTTTTAACCTTCCTTCTTCAATATATTTGTAATTATTAAAAAATGAAGAAAATTGTAATAATTAACTCCATTAGGCTTGGCATCACTTGCTTCTACCAAGGAACCAAAGGTATTTTTGACCCTTTATCGCCACCCACTCGTGTTTTGTAAGTACTTTCACTTGTAGCCTTTTGCCTTCTTTTTTTTTTTTTTTTAAACCTGAGTAGCCTTTTGCCTTTGCATCTTAGTCAACACAGATAATTTCCTTTTTGTCATCCTATTAGTATTTAATACTCCCTCCGGTCCTAAATATAAGACTCATTTTGTAATGTAAATTATATTATAAAATGGGTCTTATATTTAGAATCGGAGGAGTACTATTTTAGTCGGCAGTATGAATGTAGGCATTTTCTTTCTGTATTCTTTCAACTTTCTTCATATATTTTATTCGGTTTCATTCCACTTTATTTTTATTATTCTTTCAATACTCTATATATTTTAATGCAAATCAAATGTATGAAAGATAAATATATCTTCTTTAAAAAAAATGTTTAATTGCATAGGAAAAAATTCTACCTATACTTCGTTGTAATCAAATCAAGCGCACTGCTATTAAATATTACTCCATCCCTCTTTTTTTATAAGCAACTTTGGATTCTATAAAGTAAATTAAAAGGTTAGTTAAAATTGATTAAAGATAATAAATGTGTAGAAATTGAAAGTTCTTTCTCCAAAATACCTTGGAGAGAGGGTATAAAAAAGAGAATAAAAAATTATTATAATAAAGAGAGTTATGTAAGATAGAGAATGTGTAATGGAGAGAGGTGATGGTTTAAAAAATGAGGTAACAAATATATTGAGTATTAAAATAAGTAATTAATGAGAGGCAAAATAAGAAATTTGTTGCAAAAATTTAAAACAACTTACAAATGTTACTTATATTTAAGGAGAAAAGAAAAAAATGATAGTTGTTACTTGTAAAAAAAGATGGAAGGAGTGATATCATTGTTAGTCTTTATAATATGTTCGAACTTTGATTTCGATCACTGTAGTTTTTTTTTTTGACCCGAATCATTGTAGTTTCAAATCATGATTTTTTGTCCTTGTAATTTCTTCCGGGTATAACATTAATCTCTATAATTTCAAAAGAACTTGGGTCTAAGTTAGTGCTCATTATGGAAAAAAAAGTTTATTACTGATAGAATTAGTGGCAAAAAATTATTTTGTTGTTAATTTCATCATGAATTGGATTCTATTGCTAAATAAAAATTTTATCACTAAATTTTGTCAAAAATGATGTTTTTTTAATGAATTTTAGTTTTGGTTTTGATATTTAATGACACTAATGAAATGAATGATGTTAAACTCAAATCTAAGTTCTTGTGAAATTATATAAAGAGACAAATATTTTTTATGAAAGAAACTATAACAATGAAAGACTACGATGTAAAACTATGATGATCAAGACTAAAATTCAATGAAATTGTGAAGATCAACAATGAAATCAAGCCTTTCATTTTTATTAGTTTTTATTTACATGCCTTTTTTCCTTTAAAGAAATTATATTTTAATCTCTTTTAATGCATTTGAAATTTCTAGTTGCTTTTGCATCATTATATAGGAGATTCATGAATCATTTTTTTTAATAGTTGGCCATGAAATTGACCTTTTTATCTGATGATATTTTATTTTTGATCAAATTTTTTTGTGTTAGTTCTAAAAAATTAATTTAATTGAATTAACATCAGCCAACCAGGCCGAAAGGCAATCAAGAAGAGAGTCGTTACTCGTCAGATTGGATTCTATGGTCATGAATCTCCCGGATTCCGGTAATTGTCCGAACCGAGGGTAAAACAGTAATCTTATAGTCAACCTCCTTATCGTCTCTTCCTGCCTTCCATGGATAATATGCCCCGTCTTGAAGACGGCGTCTTTAAATGTCCCATTTCCATTACCCACAAGCTCTCCTACGAAAACGAAGAGCCTCGGAGAGACATCGAGCGAATTTGTGGGGTTTAGGATAAAGGAGCTTCTAGCAATAGAATGTCTCTCTCGATTCCTATATCTTCGCCCCATCACATTTCCAGCTTCCACCACTCTCCAATCCCGCCTTTCTCGTTATACCCTTCTTTTCTGTATTATTATCCTCCACAATTCCCACATGGCCATGGTACCAGCTTCGTTATTTGCCATTACAGAGTCAGTGAAAAATCAAAACTTGCTTCTAAAGCTTCCATGAATATTAAACGGGGTGGATTTTGTAGGCGTTCTTCTTTTTCCACATCTGGAGGTGGAGAATGTGATAATGGGAATGAAGGGGAAGATGAAGAAGATGATGATGAAGAGAGGGGCAGTGGCGAGGATGAAGAAGAGAGGGCTTTTGGGTCCTTTCTTTTGCCTGAAAGATGGGATGTCGTGGGTCTTGGTCAAGCCATGGTAATTTCCGTTTGTTTGCTCTAAGGTTTATCCATATTTCACTGCTGAAGGATATATGGACGGATCCTTGAGGAGAAATTTTTGGGGTTTAGCGCTAATAATCTTTTTATTCAGCATTCTCTTTTGCTTGAGCTATATATTTCGGTAGAGAAAGAGGACTTTCAGGAACGTTATTGTGACAATGTTATCTTGTTGATGAATTTCTTCGTTTCATCCCTGTATTTTCCCCCTCCTCCTTCTACCGGTGATATTTAGTTAGTTTTGAATTTGAGCATATTTCAGGAGATTTATGCAGCCATTTCTTTTTTACTTGGCGCTTACTTAGAACTTAAGATGAACTTATGAAGCATCTAATTTTTTAGTAAGAGTTTAAAAAATACATAAAATAACTGTTGCCTGTATCCTTGCCTTTTGGTATTGTCTTCTTTCCTTGTACATACATAGTTACCTTCCTAGAGAAAGAGAACCACAATGTATGAACTGTGAGGAAAGATAAAAGCAAACATAAAAAAAATCAAAGTTTGGCTGGAGACTTTTTCTTCCATCTATTAAATAAAAAGAGTTCAATTTTTTTTTTTTTTTATTGAATGATGAGTTGCCCGCCCTTGATTTTTGCTTGAGTGACATATATTCATCATGTGATGGAGTTTGAATCTAAAATTTGTTGGTTTTGGTAATTCATTCAGGTAGACTTTTCTGGGACAGTTGATGATGAGTTCCTGAAGAAATTGGGGTTGGAGAAGGGAACAAGGAAGGTAGTGAACCATGAGGAGAGGGGTAAAATTTTGCAGGCTATGGATGGTTGCAGCTACAAAGCTGCTGCAGGTGGTTCTCTATCTAATAGCTTAGTTGCCTTGGCAAGGCTTGGCAGTCGCTCCATTGGAGGTCCTGTTATAAATGTGGCAATGGCAGGCAGTGTAGGGAATGATCCATTGGGTGGCTTCTACAGGTTGGCCTTCTTAGTTACTGAACTTTTTCTTATTAGTTGTTTGAACTTGTTCAGAGTTTAAAAGAGTTCAACTTGGAACTTCCTTTTACACATCTATTTTGCATGCTGTCATTAAATGCATAAATTTTCCATCTATGTGCAGCATAGGTAGCCAGAATCCAAATGATCCTGTTTCAGTATTATTCTAGATAGTCAATTGGTCCCCTTGTCCGTTATGTTGCCTTATACTGATAGTATTTATAGTTGTGCTATATTTTCTGTATATTACATAGAAATTGCTGCTACTGATATTACATACTCGGAAGTTGCTCGATTGATTTTGTTTAAACCTTATATTGTGTATCACTGAGTTTAACCAACCAAGAGTTTTGAAGTTTAAGAATGCTCTGATTCTTGGTCACTGGAAGCTGATTGGTTTGATTAAAAATTGTCAAATAGGGGTTACAGTGCCAGGTTTTAATATACAAAATCCTGCGAAATGGCTGACGCAAATTTTATAAAACTCACTTGATTGATATAAAGGTCAAAAGATAATTTTAAAAGCCCAAGAACCACAACAACAACAACAAGCATTATCCTATTTGGTCCATGAACATAATGGACATAAAATATAAATAATATAAATGCAAACTATCCTATCATATCACAATCACAAATATATGAAAATAAAATAACGTTTTACAGAATTTAAAAAAAAAAACTAAGCTGAAAAATATTTCAAATAGTAATAAAACAAATATTGAAATGCGACCAAACAAAACTTCTTGTGAAGCTGTTCATTTAAGTCTTTAAGAATGATATTCATCAGCATAAGTCATAGTATTAAGCAACTTGATAAGAAAGAATTAAATGTGGTTATATGATCACTTCCTTTCCCATTGGTGATTTCTTGTTTGGTCTAAGAAATGTGTAAACAAGTGCTTTTGCAGCTCCGGCCCTCCATTTTGAGTTGTATGTTTGTTATCATAAAAGAACGTGCATGAAAAATCTTTGACTGCTGAATTACACCGCAAGCCTATATCTTAAGTTGTTATTGCCACTACATGCAGGAACGTTTTTAACACTAGATTATATATGACAAGTTATATTTTTTACAAGTTCCTTTCTTCTAGAACTTCCTTCATTTGTTTTCCTTTTAACAAGTAATTTTAGCTTAAATTATAGATACTTTATTTTCCTAAAAGCAAATTTCATTAATTTAATTCACTTTTAAACTTATTCCAATAATTTTACAGGGAAAAGTTACGTCGAGCAAATGTGCAGTTTCTTTCTGCACCTATCACAGGTGGGACAACTGGAACAGTCATAGTTCTCACAACTCCCGATGCACAGCGCACAATGCTGGCATATCAGGTTGGATGCACTACTGATGAAAACATTATGATATAAATATGTGCCGCTTCCCTATTGCAATTTTTGTGTCATTTGAATGAGTATGAGATTGAGCTTCGTATACCTGATTGCATGACAAATTTGGCATTCACTCTTTATTTTAAAACCCTTCCTGCTCTTGAGTAGTGGACTGGAGTTTATCAGAAGCTGATTTCCCTCTTTTCATGATGTGGTTGAATAAGACAAATATTTGTGTAACTAAGATAATAGATGTTGATGAGTTCTGCTGTTGTGAAGTTTATAGGCATAATAAATACTTACTTGTTTGCATGACTATGAACAACACAGTAAAATTAATATGAACATTTTTGTCATTGGTGTACTTTGTACTATAAGGCGCATTATTATTTCTTCTTGGAGCGTCAATCATGGAATTATTTACAAGGTAATGAATCAAAATAATTATGCAACCAAAGATATGCTTTTGGAAACCAATTTTCTGAAACAATCATGATCTTTCATATTGATTGGCATCAGTCACCATGTTAAATTCGAAGTACCGCTTGATTTTGAAATCCATATAAGCATGTTTGGATCAGGGACAATTAAGGGAATGAGAAGAGACGAGAGGGCTTCAGTGAAACCTTTTCCTTGTCTTGTAATTTTTTTAGTAAGGATGGGAATTATAATTAAGGATTTTGATCTTAACTTTCCAAATTCTTAAAGGTAGGGTTGTAAATGAGCTCACCACCAGCATTTTCAAGCTCAGCTCCTTTTATAAACTAGTTGTTCGAGCTTGGCATGTGATACTATATGGGCTTTCAATTATAGTCGAGCATGGCATGCTTAGTTAAATGAAAGCTTGGGTTCAGATAAACTTGCTTAAGATTATGTATTGACAGATGAGCTTAATGAGAGAAGTGTGTTTTCATGATACTTGGAAAAAGTTTTATACTCCCTCCGTTCCTTATTATAAGAGACAAATAACCGAAGTACGTTGATCAAAAAAACAGTTAAAATTAGTTAAGAACAATTAATGTGTAAAAAGTATAATTTTTTTCCAAAAATGCCCTCATTAATAAGGAGAGAGAGTATGAGAGGGAACAATTAAATTATTAAAAGAAAGAGAAGTGGGAGGGAGAGAGAGTGTGAGTTGAAGATAATAAATATGGGTAAAATAGTAAATCAACACAAAAAAGTAGAGATAACTTGTAAGTGTCTCTTATATATAGGAACATGCCATAAGCATCAAATGTCTCTTATAATAAGGAACGAAGGGAGTAATTCGTAATATATAGAGTACATGCTATTATCTATGGTGATTTATTTTATTTTATTTTTAATAGAGTTATATATGAACTGTATAAGCTGAGTAAAAATATTTCTTCAGACCCAGTCTAAACTAACTTTTATAGAGCTGAATCCGAACTGTAGACAAACTACTCAGTTCATTTATAGCCTTACACAGTCTTCCCTCATATATGTGTTCAGGGGTATGTTTGGGCTGCAGAGAATGGAGGGATATTAAAGGAAGACAATATTAGTTTAGACATTTTTATGTTAATATCTAATCCTTATTTCCCCTGTTCACTATGTTTGCATTAAGAGTTAATGAAAGGGGGAGGGTGTTCATTTATATAAGAATCAAAATGAAAATGAAAATATCTTAATTAAATTCCCGTTCCTTTTCTGTACTCCCGTTCTCCTCAATCAAAATATGCACTAGTTCTCCCAATTTGAGAGATTTTAGAGGACGCATTTCTCTTTTCCTTCCTACTACCTAACAATACCCTGCGTCTATATATTAGAATGTTGTCAAAGTCATGAGACCATAAGGATTATTCAAAACTGGTGATATTAAAAGGCTTCATCCCCAGTACATTTTTATGTCCATGGTTCAAGGGAATCTTTGGCACCTTCATTATTGCATTTACCTTTAAAAATTTGTCTATTCTCACTTTTTTATCATGCTTGTGCCAGGGAACATCTTCAACGATTAATTATGACGCTACCTTGGCTAACATAATTCCCAAGACCAACATACTTGTAGTTGAAGGGTACCTATTTGAACTTACCGATACTATCAGAACGATAACAAAGGCATGTGAGGAAGCTCACAGGAGCGGTGCCTTGGTTGCAATAACAGCTTCAGATATATCTTGTATCGAGAGACACTTCGACGAATTCTGGTAAGATTGTTAGTTGACTTTCATTAAATGTTTCATTCATTATCATATCAAATTATATGTATTGTTGATTCCATTAACTTGGCTTTTGATCTTGAAAGTCACGGCGGGGACATTTTATGTGGTATCTTAACTAAAAATGTTACGATACACCCAACAAACATTGTAAATTTTTTGTCTATACTCTATTAATGTTCAGCATCTCAACATGTTGAGCTGTGTGGAAAAAACGTCATTAATGTTTTATTACCTTACCTCTTTACAGTTTTGGCATTTGCCTCTAACTTGTAAAGAGCGAGCAACAGTTTTCTAGATAAACCCTTTCTATAAGAGTGAGGTAGTAGTAAAGATGTACCCGATGGCAAAAATGATTTATTAGTTGAATTCAACCAAATAAAGCTCGGTAATCATGTGCATTTCTTTTGTGCACGCTTAGTCTTTTCATAAACATATTCAAATGAAATGGAGAATTCTGCTTGCTTTATTTGAGAACTGGTCTGATCAGAGCTAACCAGGTTCTTTTGAATGGAAAATTGAAAATTTCTTCCTTATTCCTCTAGGATCGAAACAAAACAATTCCCCCTCCCTCAACAATGCCTTAAGTTTCCAGCTTTTTCGATCTATGATAAATGGGCGTTTGTAATGATCATAATACAATTACAACCTCATTAGCCTTCACATGGTAGTTTAAGTTTTGAGGTGGATTGATCATTGACATGATGTCCAGGTCTTTCATGAAGGGTCTTAACTTTGCAGATTAAGCAGTTTGGTCGCTGACCAATGTGAGATCGCTCTAACATGTGTATATATCATTCATTTGTCAGGGAAATCATAGAGAACTATGCAGATATCATCTTTGCGAACAGCGATGAAGCTCGAGTGCTCTGCAATTTTGATGCAAATGAGAGCGCTGCTTCGGCTACAAGGTGCTTGAGCTTCTTTGTTCCCCTAGTATCAGTCACAGATGGCCATAGAGGCTCTTACATAGGTATGAAAGGAGAAACAGTATATATCCCTCCTTCTCCATGCATTCCAGTAGACACTTGTGGTGCAGGAGATGCATATGCTTCTGGCATCATGTATGGTGTTCTGAGAGGAATATCAGATGTGAAAAGAATAGGAAAAATAGCAGCAAATGTTGCAGCCACTGTTGTTGGGCAACAAGGAACAAGGCTTGGGGTTTCAGATGCAGTCAAGTTGGCTGAATCTGTTGCATATCAACTTGAAACTAATGGTCTCCCATCAGATATGGGTACTGATCATATTTCCAGCTTCTAGGTGACATGGTGGTAGCTCACCATTCGAGTTCATATCATCAGATTCCTTCTCTAATTCCATTCCCTTTGTTCCATAGAATTTCGATCCATGTATATATATTGTTGTAAAAAATTGCTGAGCCCTTTTGTACATTTTTAATTTATATACTATTATATAATTTTTTAGATGAATACATTGTTGCAGTGTTATGATGAAATTAACAAATTCTAAACAGGCTTAGTTTTCCAGTTTTCCTCATAGACCAACTAAATTTTGAATAATATTAGTAGTGGCGGCACACGTTTTTATGGAATTCAAAAATATTAATATTAATATTAATAGTATAACTCATTTCTTGAACTCTATCCTACAATGGCATTAATAAGTTTTATCTTATTAGGTGAGGTCGGTTATATAGATTTTACAAAGTCACATTGCGTTCCATAAAGTCTTTACCGCCATTTTTAAAATTAAAAAAAAAAAAAAAAGACGAGAAAAACTTGTTTAGGTTTTTATCTGCACAAAAAGTTCAGACAAGAATGGATTCCTCAACCCAGGACCTTCTACAGATGCAAAGATAAACTCTCCTTCTTTGAAGCTGCCTAATTGGTCGATTAGAATTTCATAGATTTTCCCTTCCCTTTCAAAAAATTTCGTAGATTCTGTTGCAGGAAGTTGGAAGAAGGGAACCATCCGCCATGAGTCACTTGACTTGCTGTCCAATGACTTGAAATGAATGAAATAAAGATTTGTTTGGTCATATTTTAAGGGTACAATGCTCAACTGAGAATGGGCCCTTCCAAAACATGATATCCAATATTTTTTACATCACGTAAAATGTTATTTTAACTTTTTTTTTGAAATTTTGCTCTATCTTGAAACTGGAGTAATAATAATGGCTTTTCGTATAAATATTTAACATGAAGTGCGAGCCAACTAATTTTGACAAAATAAAATAGATGGTTAATATCTCCTCTCTCTCTCTCTCTCTCTCTCTATCTCTAACCAAGGAGAAAGCAAAACTTATGTACTATAAGAATTATTTTTTCTTTTTAGTTTTGTCCTCTATTTGCCATCACACTATTTTAAATCTTAACTACTTCTATTTATTGCCCTCCATCTAATAAGGACATTATTATAAACAAGTAATAATTATATCTTAAAACTTGATACATGACATATATTTAGAGACAATAAAGATTCAGATTAAGACAAGTAAATAGGAATGGAAAAGTATGATTAATAATATAAAGTCTATAATAACATGTTTCACGGGATAAAAAAAAACACTTGAATTTCATCACCTTTGATTTAAAATTTAATAACTTTTTAACTTTAACCTCATTTAATACATTCACCTTATATTCACTTTCTCAGAAAATAACAATCTATGCAATAATAAATAAAAAAATGTACATTTATGTTAAAATTCTAATGATGTAAATTACATAAAGAAGATTAAAAATGTTCTCTCTCTAACTTATACAAAGACCAAAGAAGTATATAGATACTCCTAAGGCACTTTAATTAATTCGTCAGAACCAAAAAATATTTGTTAACTCACTAAATCTGTCTCAAATTAAAAAAATTTCCAACTTTATTATATTAAATAAGGTTTTGAAAGAGAAAGGAAAAATATAAGGAGTTACATTTAAGTATCAATTATTAGGGGCAAAATTGACAAATAAATATTAATTATTTTTTTAAGTGATTTATATTTTAAACCAAACTGCTTTTTTGAAAATTGACCTATATTATGGAGTGGATGTATTACTACCTCCGGTCTTTATTATAAGACCTAGTTGACTAATTTGGAGAGATTAAGAAAACTAGTTAAATTATTTATTTGTTATAAATAGGTGTTATCTTTCCTAAAACACCCTTGTTAATCATATATATTACCTAGAGTTACCATTTCATGAAACATTTCATATGTGTAACCACTTTAAGGACTATTTTAGAAAAATAAATAAATATGAAAAATAAAGTGGATTGAGATTTTATATTTAAAATCAAATTAAAAGTCAAATAAGCTCTTATAATAAAAAACGGAAGTAATATTACTTTCTTCTTGATTTGTCTGGTTTACCCTTGTGAGAATCACTAGACAGGAAGAAGCCCAGTCAACCTCCATTGCATTACTTAAGAAACTTCTGTGATATGTGTGAAGAGAGGTCAGATTCGTTTTCAATTTCAGCAACCTATTCATGGGCCGACAAGACTGTGAATTCTCTTTTTATATGCACATTCAAAGCCCAAATAATTGAACTCCAATAATGTAATTAATAATTCTGCCTAATTCTTCAATGTTCAAATCAGACGGAAAGAAGATCTGTTGACATTTTCTCTGAATTAATTAATGCCCTCGACATGCCAACTTTTCTTCGTTCTTGAATTGTTGAGCTCTCGATTCATGATGATTGGTCATTGAAGAATTTTAGATGTATTCTACTTCTTAGGAAAAAAAATATATTAATTGAAAATTAAATAGGTAAATTTCTTATCACTAGGAGTGAAAGATAAAGTTTAATAAGCTCAACTTAAAAAATTGTAGAAATTAGGTTATAAAATTTTGATTAAAAAAAGAACTAAGATTAAAAAAAATTAATTAAAAGCTTTTAACCTTACTTTTTTAATTTTCTAAATCGAGTTTATTAAAAAAAAATTCTCCTTTTACCTTGCATTCATTTTTTTTCATATCAAACAGACCCTTATACTTGAATTAATCAAAATTCAATATGAGAAGATGAATTTTCTAATTATACAACTTGCCTAATACATTTATATATATTTTTTGTCATAAATCAAGTTGTAAATTATTCTAATGGAAATCAAGACAAAGATCAATGATTGGAGGGATGTTCTTGCCTGTGTATTATTGATGAATAGAATAATGATAATCATGTGTGACGTGTAAGCCTTATCTCTTGATATAATTAATCATTGTTCTTTAATTTTGCATCCCGAGTAATGTTATCAATGACATTACATCTTATTTAAAAAAATCAATAAAACTATTAAAAAAATCATCTTAAAAAAAATCACGCTATTAATAAGTCATAAATAGTATGGCTTTTCTCAGAAAAAAGCATCTTGTTTTTGCAAGTTTTGAACATTGAAGCTTCCCTTAGATTTCCTACAATTTTTTTATTTTTTCAATACATTCTACATATTTTAATTATATTTAAATTTCCAAATATGAGGACCAAAGAAGCAGTTTGTGAATTTTCAAACAATGGGATCAGGCAAAAAAAAAAAAAAAGAATTTTCAAACAATGGGAAGCTTCATATTTTGTGTGCTGCCGTTGACAGCGCCATCTAGAAAGCAGGCCAATTGGGCCATATTTGTATTTGTCACCATATTAAAAAGAAAAAAAAAAGTTATCACCACCGATCAGTTTAAAGAGTTAAATATAAAAAGATATTTATGATTTCTTTGCCAACAGATATTTAAGATTTATTCAGTGAACTAATATATATAAATAGATAGCAACGAACAAATACACATTCACACATTTGATTTGTGATTGTGCCATCACAAAATATCACATTGGTCTCTATTATAAAATAGAAAAAATCCCAAAAAAATATTTCTAAAATTTCAAAATCTCATATTAGAAATGACTACAAAAATGTGTTGTCTTTTGTTTTTCAAATGTTGTCAATTGTTATTTAAATGTATTAAATAAGACTAATTTGAGATTTTGAAATTTAAAGATTTTTTTGGGGATTTTTCTTTTAAAATACCTTCAACCCATTCATCAAAACGTAAAGGAATATGTTGACTCAATAAATTTATTTGCTATCCAAAAAAATTTTAAAATTTATCTTCATAAGTGAAAAAGGAAATTGCATCAAACTTTAACTAAGAAAATCTTGAACAAAATTTAATTATTAATACCCTATTTGATCACTTATAATAAAAACCACACATTCCTTCTGAAAAGTACCTTATAATAAGAATTGGAGTAGGATAAAGTTCAAAGGAGTAAATTCTTTGACAGAGTCTATCTCACAAGATGATAGTTACCCAAAAGTTTTAGTAACACATTATATAATACTGCTTCTAATCTTTAATATAAAAACTAGTTTAACATTTAATTTTGTTCTAAATATAAGATCTTAATTTTCTTTGTCTCTCATATTTATCCATTTTTTCTAAAATAATTTTTGTAGTAGTTGCATATATTAAATGTCTCATCAAATAATAGTTCTAGCTAATGCATATGATTAGCAAGTATAACATCTTCATTTTCATATCTCTAAGATTTAAGTAAATTTGCATTAAGATAGAATAGATAGAGGTTATATATATATACATAAGCAATTAAAATAATTAAAATTATATGTATTTGTGTATATGTATAAACATATATATGAATAAATAAATAAAATAACAATATTAAGAAATCCCATATTAACTAAATAATCGGAAGATGGATAAAATACTAATGGTGAGAAGTCCCACATTGACTAAAGGGTGGGTAGATGGAGCTCTTGGGGGCTATATATAAATGATAGTAGAGGAGAGTTAATAGTAAGTTAAATAATTTTCACACAAAACGGCGATGGTCTCAATAAAGTGTTGTTTACGAGTTCATGAACTATTGGACCATGCTATAATTTGGTCAGTTGGTCTTAGACTTCATACTCGTCGATTTCAATAGTTGGATCATCAATACAATCTGTGAGATACGAGTTATAAAGTACGCTTTGAACTCAATTTTTTAGATTTTGTGCATAGAACCCTGAATAGTAAATTATCATTTTTAAATATTTTCATTGTTAGATCGAGTTACAATTTGGACAATTGATGTATGACATCTAAGATGTTAAATTCAATGGTAGGATAAATAATTAGAATCTTTCAGTAAGAATGATTTAACTCGTATTAAATATATTTATCTGAGATTTTCTAGGATAGAATATAAGCTATAAATTGGGGGTTCTCTATCTAGGTTATGAATTTGGTGATTCTAATAATATAATTTAATAATTATAGGATAATATAAGTTAAGGGAACTTAGAAATTGAATCTAAATCTTTCAAGCTAAAATTGTGAGTAACAGTTGAAGGTCCTAGAAGGAGAGTTAAAGGCTAGAAATTTGCAAACAGTTTACCCTAATACTGTAAAAAATAATTTTTTAATTTTATTTGTAGATATAAATACTACTATGGTATTTTTTAGTATGGGCCTTATTTATATTTG